GATGGGAAACCCGCGGGGATTACAATCGAGATGGAAAAAAAATGTGCAAAATGATGTAAAAATAAACTTTTGTAATAATTAAAAAAAAGAAAGAAAGAAAGACTCAAAACGGACAAACGGAAAAAACTCACCTTGGAGCCAGGCGCCTGTTCTTGCTGTCTGGCCTTGAGGTGCCCCCTACCTATGACTTATAACTCTCCACCTGCCCCCATGTTCAGGCTTCCCCTGGTTTTGGGGTTCCTCTCATCTCTTGCCCTTTCTTGCCCACTTCCACCCATCTCTGCCCATGTTTCCCTTGTCAGCAAGCGACATCCTGACAAGGGTCGCAGTTGGCACTGCCGCTGTCTCTGCCCGTGGCTGTAGGCCAGGCCTGGTCGGAGCTGGGTTTAGTCTGCTCATTCTCACGGTGATTCTCCAGCACCCGGCGTGGGGGGAAGCGCGCAGGACACACCGTGTGTACAGGTCCCGACACAGTTCCAGAAACAGGGTCCCGCCCCGTCCCTGCCAGCTCTTTCCTCTCCCCCTTCCTGACTGTCTTCTTCTGCCCAACAGGTTGGCTTCTTCAAACGTCACTACCAGGATATGATGCAGGAAGCAAATGGACAAACCGTCCCAGGAAACGGGATGTCAGCCCAGTAAGAAACTCCCTCCTGCTTGCCTTCGGCTCTGCTGCTCGCTCTTTCTCTCACCTAGTCAAGCTTGAGGGGAAGACGTGTTGCGTGTGAGAGAGGCGGCTGCGGTCCTCGTCCCTGGGGGAAGCAGCGTGTGCACCCGGTGCCCTGCCTGTGAGGCCACTTTCTCATCAGCGCTCTGGCCAGAATCCCCAAGACAAGGCTAGCCGTGCTCCTGAGAACCTGGCTTACATCTTCTGCTTAGACACACAGTTTCCGGCTTCCGCTGGTAGCCACACTGATCATGCTAAAATATAGCACTGGACAGGCCACTCCTCCACCTCAATCTTGAGCCCCCACCCCCTCTGCTCACGGGATAACATCTGAATGCTCCAAACTGAGGGTCCAGGATCCAGTTCCAGTGCCAGAAGACAAGCTCTGGAGCGCACAGCCCGAGAGGTGTTCCTCTCTGTCACGCTTGTTTCTCATAAGATAACGTCACGATCAGCTTCGTTTTGGGAATCCTCGTCCAGATTTCCTGAATTGAGTTGGAGATGAATTTCTGCATATTGGAATGTGTAGGTGTGGTGCCCAGCACTAGTTGGCATTGCTGGTTGTGGGGGAGAGTGGCCCCCTCAATGGGGGATGGCCCCAATGCCACTTAACCAGCCCCCAGGGCCTTTCAGAGGCCAGAGGCCCAGGCCACTTTCATTCTTGAAGTTCCAGGTATAGTAGATGAAGAAGTACTAGAACATGATTATAAAACTTGTGTATTTTAAATTAAAAACTGAACACATTGTACCAAATGAGGTGGCTGTGAGGTTACTGGGAAAATATCAAAGGCTTCAAATGAAAGGTTTTTATGGACATAAGTCCTGAATACTGCCGTTCATGCCATTCCCTAACTACCAGGGACATTGCTAGAGGAAGGTGACAATCCTGGATGAGTGCAAAAACTAACACCTATCTAGAAAGTGTCACACCATTTGAAAGTTGTTGGGTCAGCTATATATTCACTCCCTGGCGATTATCTTTTATGAAACTGCCAACTCATACTGAAACTATCAAACTTTTGTGTCTTTCAAACAAAGCAGAAAAAGCAACAGAGATTACTTCTAACAATTACATAGATCCCTTTCCTATCTAAACTGATTAGCCTGTGATTAAACACAGTGAAGCCAGCAAGACTCAGTGGCGTAAGTCAATGATCTTACAGCAGTAGGTCACACACTCTCCAGCAGGCTGATACACCAGCAGTGCGCTTCATGCCTGTGTGGAAAAGTGCCTTGTGTGATGGGAGACCAGTCATGGGAAACGGCCAGAGTACATAATGACATTTTCAAAGCAGCTGCAGTTGTTGGTTAGCTCAGTGATAAAGCAATGCCATGGAGATGCACCTTCCTGTGCTGCCTTTGTCCTTAGGCCTCTCCTCAAGATGGCTGCCGTAGCTCCAGCCATCTCGTCTTCACGGACAGTGCCCAAAGCAAGAAGGACGTTTCTCCCCACCTCTTTAGACACCAGGGAGATAGACCTTTATATACTTTTTCTGTAGATTCTCAGATTCCCCCTTAGGTCTCTGACTAAGGCTCCATCACATTCGCCCCCTTGACACAAAATGCTGAGAAAGTGAGCCTTCTACAGGCTTGCTAATAGAGCTAGGGCCTCCCTGGTGGCACAAGGGGTTAAGTCTCAGCACTTTGAAGCTACCCACCACCACCACTGCAGCACAAGTTCGATCCCCAGCCAGGGAGCTACCCACATGGTGCAGCAGGCCTCTCCTGTGCATTTAAGTCGATCTGTCTGTTCTGCTCCCCCACTCTGTCTCTGATGAATCCTCTCACTTCTCCACATCCCCACACTTCTGGCCTGTACCCCAGTTCTTGTACGAATAAATAAATAAGTCTTAAAAAAAATAATAGTGGTAACTGCCAGCCAGGAAGAAGGGGTAAGGCTGCTGCAGCTATAGGACAACTTTATGCTTGAAGAATATATTGTCAGTGAAATTCACTGAGGGAACAACTTGGACATTATTTGAAATGGAGAAGCAATGATTAAGCCCTGTGTGGGGTGTCAGCATGTTATCCCACGCCTGAGTCAGGTCCGTGGCGTGGGATGTCTGACTCAGCCCTCGGCTTCTTTGTGCTGTCAGTGGGGGAGAAGAGCATGATGACTTTTTGTATCGCTGAAAACCCAAGTAACAGAAAACGAGATCTAATTGTTTGTGATGAGAGTGCATCCCCTGAGTGGTGTCAAGTTGGGGGGTAGGGGTCGCTGCCGGCCAGAGGACGGAATGAGGAGCCCCACATCCCACTCCGAGGGGAAAGTAGGTGTGAAGGAGACTGTTTTTCATACTAAAATAACGTCAGGGAGAAATACTGTCACTGGAAATTTTATTTTTATTTAAACTGTGGTAAGATACACATGACATAAAATGACTTTCTTTAAGTAGCCAGTTCAGGGGTGTCAAGTACATTCCCCTGTGCAGCTGTCACTGCCATTGGGCCCAGGACACCTCCCCTTCCCAAATGAACCTCTCTACCCACTAATCAGCAAACTGCTCCCCTCACCCCCCACCCAGTGGCCATCACTCTTCTGTGAATGTGACCGCTGTTGGCACCTCACACAAGTGGCATCTGGACTGTGTTCGTCTGCTTGTGACTGGCTCCTCTCACTCAGTCCTCTGTCCTCAAGGTCTTGCACCATGTAGATTGTGCCAACATTTCCTTCCTTTTTAGGTGGGATGATGGCCCCTTCTCGTGGGTTATATACACATCACACGTGGGAGTGGGCTTCTCTGTGTGTTACATACACACACATATTCTGACTTTTTTTATACCCTTGTTGACACTTAAAATTCCTGTTTTTTACGGTTTGGAGGTTCCTCAAATTGCTAAACATGGAGCTTCCCTCTGACCCAGCAATTCCACTCCTAGGTATCTACCCAAAAGACACAAAAACACTGATTGAAAAAGATACCTGCACCCCCATGTTTATTGCTGCTTTATTTACAATTGGAAAAACATGGAAGCAGCCCAAATGCCCAAAAGTAGATGACTGGATTAAAAAGATGTGGTACATACACACAATGGAATATTTATTACTCAGCAACCAAAAAAAGAAACACATGAAACAAATTGCAGCAACTTGGATGGAGTTGGAAAAGATCATGCTTAGTGAGAGAAGCCAGAAAGAGAAAGGAAAATACCGGATGGTTTCACTCATAGCAGGAGTATAATGGACCAGGCGAGAAAATAGCAAAAATAATGAACAAACCATATACCAGAGACATTTTGTGGGGGTGGAGTGGGGAATGGGATCAAAAACAGGGGCGGGGGGGAGGGAAGTGCACGGGATTATGGTGATGGCACATGGGTGACATGGTGATGGGAAACCCGCAGGGATTACAATTGAAATGGAAAAAAAAATGTACAAAATGATGTAAAAATAAACTGTTATAAAATTTTTAAAAATTCCTGTTTTTTATATTTTAGACAGTATCTACCCTATGTATATTGAGCTTTTGATTTGCCTCTCCTCAGTGAGCCTCTTTTATATACATGGATCTATTGTGTCCATTCTACCTGGTTAGACTCCTTTCACTTGGCAGAGTTATGCTAAGATTCACCCACCAGCTCTTGGGAATTCTGACACAAAGATTAAAGAGCCAGTTCTGAGTTCCTTTTAGTTCTGACACCTTCCCCACCTCCCACTACTGCAGCTGCAGCCTCGTTGCTGTGACCATGCTTGAATGGGAGAAAGAGAAAATAAAGTGGAAGTGATGTCAACCTCCTCCTCCCACTTCCCTAGATACACCAGACACCAGACATCTGCCCAGGAGGACAGTCCTTTGGCCCCACCCACGCCTGGCCTATACTCACACACATCTGAGCCCTCCACACATTTTCCCCACTCAGACCCCAGTGCCCAGGTCTCTGTCATACCAGCATTACCAGGAGGATGTCCCAGGAGGACACAATGAAGAGATGAGTCTGAATAAACGACAGGCAGCCCTCCAATTGGTCAGCACTTTGAGCTGGCTCTTTCAAGGCACTGCATGTTCAGACTTGCCCCCTGGGAAAGAGCCAGGCCAGCATCTGTGTCCAGTTTAAAGTGGTCAAAACTGGTTTGAACTGGAACCAGTCAAAACCGGTCTGAACCGGTTTCAGCCAGTTTGAACTAGTTTCATCCATTCTGAACTTTGAAGAGGTCAGGAGCAGAATCGTCAGAACTCTTTGAAAAGATTTCATCTGTTTAGAGCCAGTAGGAGTCAGTGTCAGTGGTTTCACTCAGCTTCACGAACTGGTCTCATCTGGTCTGAACTGGTCAGAACCAGTTTGAACAGGTCTCAGCCGGTTGGAGCCAGTTTGAAACCGGTCAAAACCAGTGTCGGGTGGTCAGAGCTGGTGTCAGCCTGTTTGAACCCATCTGAACCGGTTAGAACTGGTTTAAACCAGTTTCAGCTGGTTTGAACTGGTCTCAGCAGTTTGAACCAATCTCAGCCAGTTTGAACTGGTCTTAGCCAGTCTGAACTTTGATGAGGACAGAAACAGATTCAGAGTCATCAGGACTCTTTGGAAAGATTTCATCCGTTATGAGCCAGTAGGGGGCAGTGTCAATTGGTTTCACTCTCAGTGGAACTGATTTGAGCCAGTTAGAACCGGTCTGAACCTGTTTGAACCAGTCAGAACTGGTCAGCTGCTTTGAGCCAGTTGGATCTGGTTGAACCGGTCAGAACTAGTTTGAACCGGTCAAAATCTGTTTGAACCGGTCTCAGCTATCTGAATTTTGAAGAGGACAGAGTGGATTCAGGATCGTCAGAAATTTCTGGAAAGATTTCATCCATTTGGAGCCACTAGGGAGCAGTGTCAGTTTCACTCTCAGATACATAAGGTGGTCAGCCGGTGTGAAACGGTATGAACTTGCTTGAGCTGGTTTAAGCCCCTTTGAACTGGTTTGAGCTGGTTGGAACATTTGAACACGTATAAACCTGTCTGAGCTGATTTAAACCAGTCTGAACCGGTCTAAGCC